AAGGGGAAAAGATGGTAGGTTTGTCTGGATGAAAGTAACCATACCCTACCAGAATTACAATTTCACTTACACTATGTTCCATTCTCAGTTTAAAAAAAAAAAAAAAAAAAGTACTGCAGCAATTTGGTTGACTGAGGGAGAGGAAGAGCTACAGGGGGAAAGGATGCATGGAGAAACTTTGACAGACAGTACCAGATTAATGGTTTAATTCATATATTTGATTCACAGGAAAAACAGTCCACCAGTCTTGATTGCTTATATAAGGTGATGTCATCTCTCAATCTTAATTATGATTGTAGCAGCCAAAAATATAGCAAACCACAGATAGGGACTCATGCTGTTGATGGTTTTAACCACAAGATTTCTTAGGAACAAACTACCAAAGCTGCTCTTTGTGTTATCTTTCCATTCAGACAGTGCCTCAGTTTCCAACTAGATTATTGTCTTATATATGTCCATATATACTTTTAAATTCTCCCCACTGTAAATTTCCCCAAGTGGAGCTAAGTCAACGCCATTCTCAATATCCTCGTATAGACTGCTGTATTGGTGTACTAAGGGGATTAACCATTGAATAGGTATATATCAAGAACTATGCTATACTTAGAAAAAATGTTCCAGCACAGTTATTTTAGGAAGAAATCATTCTACACAACATTTCATATATTTCATTCAGGCTTAAAATGGTTGTGTTACATTTTGTTGTTTTTTATAAGATTTGCTATTGTCTTTTATTGATGATATATATTATTATTACTGTTGTTGTGTATATATATTATTAATAGTGTTGTTGTTGTTATTATTATTAGTAGTAGTAGTAGTACGAGTAGTAGTACTATTTTTATTATAATTTTATCATAATTACTATAATTATTACTTTTACTATTACTATTGCTATTACTATATTTATTGCTTTTACTATTACTATTATTCTGCTACTGCTACTCTTACTATTACCATTACTTCTACTACTTCTACTACTTCTACTACTACTACTTCTTCTACTTCTTCTACTTCTACTTCTACTACTACTAGTACTACTACTACTACTACTAGTAATAATGATAATAATAATTATAATAATAATGTTATTATCATCATTATAGTTGTTATTATTATGCTCATGGTATTCATGTATAACTACCATGCAACTATTAATTTTTGTGCATATTTATATACCTAGGTACTCGTAACAAGCTTGCTTTCTTTCTGTAGTACATCAAACTGTCTTTAATGATGTGAAACAGAACACTGCCAGTACTTATTCTTTATTTATCTCAAAAGAGACATATAAATGTACCATACTAATGTATTTTGTTAACCTTGCATGACATGTTACTAAATAACCGACATGACATAAATTTCTTCATACCAGGAAACGGTTGCCAAAATGTCAGGTGATATAAGCCTTGGGTGCTCTGCCCTGACAAAGATGTTACTCCACGCTGCCCGTTACCCACATTCTGCCGTCAGTGGAGTGGTACTTGCACAGGGAAAGGGAGGAGATTCCAGCAACATGGTCTTGGTCGATGCTGTTCCTCTGTTCCACCTTCAGCTTGGTCTTGCTCCCATGCTTGAAGTTGCTCTAACTAGGGTACGTACATATATAATAAAGAACAGTTATTATGAGAAAGGAATGATTAGTTGCGGTATTTTGAGTCAAGTTAGAGTCTTAGATTTATTTTGGGTATCCATTTCAGTTTTATTGTTGGATGAGGAGTCTGGTCTAACTAACTGTAGTTTTCTTTTTGTATCTGTGTTTGGTTTAGTCTTTCTACATGTGTTGTTGTGGTTGTGAATTTGTTTAGTATGTATATACAGTATTTCATAACTGGGAAAGTAATAATTAGAGCATCTTTTTAGGTGGCCTGTTAAATGCATATATAAATGGCATAATTATTCATAATGATAGTCTTCTTTTGGTCATCCTGCTAGTCTTAAAGATTGTACTATTTTTTTAGGCATTTTAGAAAATAATTGATAATTATAAGGCTGTTTTTAGAATAAGGGTTAGCATGGAAATTTCTCACAATAATTACCAAAATAATATGCAGAAATTGAATCATTATTTATCATCATTACTTTCAACTTTTAAAAAGATGCCAATTAAACATCACATCAATGTATTATGTTAATCCAGTCTCATATGATGAATCATTCGCAAATTACCATCTTTCATCGTTGTTAATCAAATGATATATCACCTCTGACCAGACATAAAACCCACACATTTCTGTCAATGTTTTCTTGCAGTAAGCTTTTCTAATGACAAACAGTAACGTCCCTGCTCTCCTTACTGTAGATCGAGCAGCATTACAGATCGAAAGGACTGGTGATTGCGGGCTACTACCAGGCCAACGAGCACATTAGGGACAACGTGTAAGTTTGGTGCAGTTACCGAGTTTTTTTTTTTTTAATAATAATAATAATAATTTTATGGTTATTTATTTTATTTATTCTGATTTATTTTAGGATGATTTTAAGGGTATTTGTTTTATTTACTTTGGTTTATTTTGTTGTATTTTGGCTGATTTTATGGCTGTTTATTCTTATTCATTTTGGGCCGATTTTATGGTTATTTATTTTATTAATTTTTGTACATTTTGAGTGATTTATGCTTATTTATTTATCTTAAGGTTATAGTGGTCACAACCGGCTAGTTGAGCACATTAGAAAAGACATTTAAAAGTTATCTGGTTATTTTTTCTGAATTTGGATATTTAAACTTCTCTCCTTTCTTCATTTTTAATCAAAGTACAAATAAAAAATCCCATTTATTAACCCCTTAAAGTACTTATTTAAGGGTAGATAGAAGAGTTCAGGATGAGATTTCCTTGTTAACTGATGTTCAAATGGAAACTATTATTACTTTCAATACTTAGTTACAAGTACTGTTCAAGAAGATCATTCATAAGCCATATCTGACAATAATTCCATTGCACTCGTAGACATTCATGTGTAAATTAAGATTAAACATATATATTTAGAGTACACTAGGTTGCAGATTGAAAGATGCAATCATTATGGATCAGTTCGGAAAGTTAGCAACTTTAGAAGGATTACAGAAGGCAAATAGATCAGAGGCTACAGTTATGCAATAGATCCTGTGTGAGATTTTCTCTGTGATCTGTATGTCTCTCCATTTTCCTCAGGCCTGATTTTGTAGCCCTGAAGGTAGCAGAGAAGATAGCTGAGAATAATAACGATGCCTGTCTAATAATGGTGAGTAATTAGTTGTTTATTCTGCATTTATGGTGATAATTGGCTGAAAATTTTCAGAGGATGATTTAGAATAAATTTACTTCCTAAAGTCAAAATGTTAAGGACATAAATAATAGCTGCTATGAAGAAGAGATGATTTTTTAAAGTCCAATTTCTAAATCAAATCAGTGTAGTAGGCATAACATTTACCACTAGGTTGGTTGGTAGTCTTCTTTTCCTCTTCTTTCCTCTTTCCCATTCTGTTTCTTCTCCATCTTCTCCTCCTCCTCTTCATCCTCCTTTTATCATCATCCTCATTCCCCTTATCCTCTTCCTCCTTTTCCTGTGTTTCTCATCCTCCTCATCTTTCCTCATCATCATTGTCATCATCTCTCCCTCTCTCTTCCTCTCCCCCCTCTATTGTCCGTCTTTCCCCATCTTTTGCCTTTTTGTCCTCTCCCCTCCCCTCCTTTCCTCCCCTTCCCTCCCCTCTCCCATCCTCTCCTCTCCTCCCCCCTCCCTTCCCTTCCTCTCCTCCCTTTCCCTCTCCTCTCATCTCATCTCATCTCATCTCATCTCATCTCCTGTCTTCCTATGACTCAATATGCAGCAAGTATATCCCAAATATAGCCCTTTTTTAGTCTTACTTAGTGCAGATAGTTTTTGGAGAGATAAGGTTTGTTGTGGAAGTTATTAAATAAATATATCTAATGATTTCAGATTGACAACAAGAAACTGTGCCTGAACCTTCAAACTGCTCCCATCATTGTCTCACAGTTAACATCAGATGGAAAGTGGAAAAGTAAAGATAAACCTAGGTGAGTTTGTTTGCTTTTCTTCTCCTTTTCTTCTTTCTTCTTCTTTTTTTCTCTTCTCTCTTTTTTTTTCACCCATTTTTCTTGCAGGTATGTATGTGTGCATATGTATACACCAAGTTTCTTTCACACTGATATTAGTATGTAAAAAAATTTTGCCAGATAAGTAACAAATCTAATCCATCATTACTTTCTCTGTGTCATTATTTCAGATTTTAAGGCTTAATAATGTTTCCTCTTTGCCTTTGATCTCTGTACTTCCAAGTATGCATAATCATTACTCAAAAAATTATGAATAATAAAAATATTAATAAAAGAAAAAAAAACATTATATCCATATCCTCTTTCAGCATTCACATAGAGGCTGGGGCTTTGGATGTCATATCTCAGTTGCTTCAGCGGAAGGTCCAACACGACGTCAATGATTTCGATAACCACCTGGACGACCTGACCTGCGACTGGGACAACCCTCAGATTAATAAGCTTTTAGATACCCTTACGGCGGCTGCGCAGGACAAGTGCTAATGGAATAGTTATCTCTTTTTCAAGATCAAAGTCATGAACTCTGACGCATCTTGTGCATGTGCGTGTATGTTGTCTTAAAGAGTCCTGGAATGATTTAGTAGCAAGAGTTAGTAGGGATGAAATTTTCTTTTTTTCGTTGAGGTCATTCCATCATTAATGAGTCGTATACCATTTTGTTCTGTTTTAGTCAGCACTCCCCTCCCTCCCATTAAGTAGTAGTGACTTTGGGTAATAGTATTTTGTAACACTTGTGTCATTTTCATTGAATAGTAGTCATAGATTTTTTTTATGAAAATGAAAAAGAAGTAATGCTACAGTAGTAAATCATTGCCAGACACTGCTGTTGGAAAAAAATGTAATTATGCTAAAGAACCCTTTGTATACAGAAATACTTACACTTACATTTCATTTTAGATGTATAGTTGTAAATATATTGTTCCATGCATTTCATATAATACTATCTAGGGCTTATGAAATTTTACAGTAATGACTTTTAATGGAACTGTATATTTATTATAATAGATTGAAAAAAAATACATGAATCTAAAGATGAAAAATTATATTTTTTGCCTTATTTGTGACCTGCATCTGTTAGGAAAGTTGTTTAGTTTATGAAATCAATCAGTCTCCCTCTATATATCTCTGTCTCTCTCTCTCTCAATCTCTTTATTTATCTCTCTCTATCTCTCTATCAATGGAAATGCTGTTGTATGTACAGTAAACTTACTGAAGCCTCAAGATCTAAATGTAAGAAATGTTTATACATAATCTTCCTTCTTTACCTTTTTTTTATTTTTATATGCAAAAATCTTACAAGCCTGGCAAGGTCTGAGTTGCTTATTCTAGATCTTGGCTGAACATAAAAAAAAAATCACTGGAAAGCTCTTATCACTTAATGTATTTTTGAAAAACTATAAGCTCTCTAATACAAGTACATCAGGTCTGCATTAAGTTCAATGTAAAAGGTGCTAGGTAGTCTATCCAAAGAATTTGATTTGGCATCATAATATAGTAATTGAAAAAAAAGGTATGAAAAGATAAAAGTAATCTTTAAATATTTGTTGAAAGAAATTGAGAATAACAAATTGACTGCATATTCTAGATCTGAATTTTTTTTAAATATACGTAATTTACAAGGTATTTAAACAATGCCAAGTTAATACTTAGTGAAGGTTTTAAAAGTGCTCTCATTTATCATACCATTAACAGGTTACAAAATGGATTTCTGATCAATATGAGAGTATGAAAAACAAGACTTTTTTATTCATAATATGCTTCTTGGAAATAGGAGAGAAAACACAAAACATGTTTTTTTATTATACTTTAATTCTTTATTGTGATGCTCACAGAGTATCAAAGCAAATAGTTTATCATTTATAATGTTTGTTTTTTTGCCATACTGTAATTAAGAACAGATTTACCCAACATATATGAAAATGTATTAAGGCCTATTCACACATCATTGTACCTATATGGTTTCAAAGTATTTTAATCACAAATATTGTAACTTAGTGACAAGGCACGGCTAGCACAGCCTCACAAGTCTTGCAGCTTGGTGACAAGTTGTGGCAAGCAGTTTAGCATTTCAGTAATAGATGTTAATGTAGGCCTTTTAGGCACTCCATTGCCATTCTTAAAAACCATACAGAAGGTAATGATAGTGTCAATGGACCTTAGAGTCAAGATAATTTTTTTAAAAGGACAATATAAACAAAGAACTAACGTGTGAAATCATTGCATTTCATACAAAAAGATTTAAATCTGGTGTCTCCTTTGAATATAATTAAAAGCTAAGGAGAATCACATTTTGTGTCCTCAATTGCTCAGTGGGCTAAGGTGCCCAAGTGGGGGAGGTAGCACTCGACATAACCTGTAGGTCAAGGCTATGCTTCACTTGACATACACCCACGTTTATGCTAGTGGCACATTGCAAGCTTTTTTCTCTTTAAGATTGTTACACAGAAACCTCTATATTTAATGTCCATAATATAAACAAGGACAGATACAGACACTTTTTCTTACTGATGAGTCATAAATGAACAGATGTAATGGTATGAAAGGTGAATAAAAATAGTGTATGAATGAGTGAGTGAGAGAGTGAATGAGTATGAGTGTGCTTGTGCATGTATGTGTATGTGTGTGTAACCAAGCAAATACTTAGAAAAAAGTAGCAGTAACAACATGAATTTCAGGAGGCTACAATGAATACATATTCATTTCATACTTGACCAGAGCACTATCACATTATCAAAATAGAGGTATCATTTATTGCAACATCCCTTTTTCAATTTTTTAAATATCTCACCAAAAGATTCAATTTTAGACACATATGCCTTGCCTATAATAATATTCAAATACAAATTTTCTTACAAGACCTTTTTTTTCCAAGATATTCAGGTTCCATGACACAAACCCCACATAAAATGTACATTGCTATCAAAGGTATAATCAAATATCTTTAATGTTAACCCTTAATCCATATTCACATTTTAATTAAAAGTAACCTATGTTGATATATGGCCTTCTAATTTTTGTTTGTTGTTCTTGTGGTTGTGGTTACTGTTGCTGTCGTTCAATATAACATACAAAGGTATACAAGAAAGGGAAAAAGTTTTTGTTTATTCATCCTTTTACTTTAGTCAACCCTCACACAGTCTTATCTATCAGAATCTTAATTATTCCTGATTATCTGGCTGTCTGTTTTGTCACGGATGAGTTACTGGCTCATACTCTGCTCTTGTTACCTTATACCAATAATAAAACTGATGCCTCCTGCCACTTCCTCCCCCCCTCACTGCAGCTGTCTGATGGATGTGGGTTAAACATGTTTACAACAGAAAAGCTGGCACGCTAGCTGTCATTTCGTCTGCCCTTTTAGGGTGCCCTGACTGCCCTATAGTAAAAATTAAAGCAATATCAAGGTCCACTGGCTATTCAGATGTGACTGCACAACAAGAATGTCATGCAAGACATTCATACATCCAGGTCCTACTGCATAGACATTTATGCAGCTTAAGGGTCAATATCAGTATCAAAAAATGGGACTTCTATCTTCAAATATATTAAAATTTACTAGTAAAGAAAAAAAAATCAAAGTGTGCATAAAAATTGATGAAATGCAACTTTATATGCTGTGAGAATTTCATAAAATGATCTAATAGGATGTATAGAACATTAGCTATAACTTCTTTAAGGACTTCTGCTAACTTACTGAACATATGTACATCATGAGAGTGACAATAACATAAAATCACAATAACTGCATTTGCATACAATGTGTAGGAATGTACTTTATTACGTTAACGTACATACAATTGTGTTCCATATATGCCTCCGAATGTTATATCATATACACCCACTTTGTGTAAAGCAAGAGGCAGTTAAAGCTATTTATAAATATATATTTGATTACTATAATCTGACCATTATCTTTATCATACAAAGACTCTACAGTCTAAATCCTCAGCACTTTTCCCAAAAAAATCATGTTGTAAAAAATAATTTTGCTTTGGCAGTATGGCAATAATCATACTGGAGTATCAGAAATATTTAAGTAATGTCTTTTATGAAAATAGAGTTTAGATAATGTGCACATACACACAAAGCCATGCTTTACAAGAAAAAATAAGCCCTCTAACCAGCATTCTTTACACAAGAATGATCTTCAATAAAATAGAACATTTCTAAAATACAATAAGGAGGAAATATAACACCAAATTAATAAATTTGATTAAAATTACAAAATCATTGCACCTTATATTGGTAATATTGTTTCTCTAAAAATACTTCAAATTTAAATCTTAAAATTTGCAGAAAGATATAATTGCAAAACTGCAAAAGAAACCAAGTACCTGCAAGTTCCAATGATATTTTACAATGTATCTACTTTCCAGACACTCAATATAAAAAGTCTTAATTCTTTGGAGGGTATCACAAAACACAAGCTACAGTATTCAGACAAAATAATAATACTATAGCGGGGAAATTACTTCAGAATGATAAGACACTGCAATAGCCATGCAGAACAGGTAATGTAAATGTCACCTAAAAACATCTTGACATGGACAGCTTGGTCAAACAAAGCTAATTATTTCTGACATAATATAACAATATATCTTCCCTATTGCAGAAAACTACCGAGTTAAAAACTTAGAAAAAATAAATAGTCAACAACCAGTATTCCTGAAGTAAGTCTGCTATGACAGCTGTAAATTGAACGGACAGAAGAAGAATCCCTAATTCACTGAACTCGATTAAGCCAAAGCTCTTTACTTGCAATCACATGTATTCGTCTTGCAGTTCCTTGATAGTTATTATAAGGTCAGAGAAATTGGGACGGGCAGCTGGCTCCTGATCCCAACAAATGCGTATTAATTTGGAGTAGATGTTTGTCCTGCATGGGCCCTTGCAAATCAGTCGTCTGCCAAATTTCAGGGCCTGTGAATGAACAATTTGGGGAATAATAAGTATCAATTATTTATTACATGACTCCCATTTTAAAACTAATATTCATTTGAAAATCTATCCAAAAATATCCCTTTGAAAACATGCAGTAAATACATAATATATCCCATCCTCAGAAATCATTTTTGTTCAGATTCATATCAGGCAAAAGTAGAAAAAAAAGCTTCCTTGTGCCCTACCTGTATGAGTTCATCAGACTTTTCTGGAAGGTCAGGCTCAGCGCCACGAGTAAACATCTCCCAGCAGGTCACGCCAAAAGACCAGACATCACTCTTGTGCGAATACTGCTCATTCTCAATGCATTCAAGAGCATACCTACAAAGGGGAAGGAAAGAGATTTTGGATGTCAAATGTCATGATTTCTACATCTGTATAAAATAATATAATCAACCCTTTAAAGGCAGATCACATTTTGATTTACCAGTCATGTATAGCAAGCTTCATTTTGAAAAGGCAAAGTGCTGATTTTAATACTTTTCATATACTTAAACAACCTCATCTACCTCTAAACAACTAGAAGTCTTATTTTCATTTCAATCACCATTACTATCTGTCTTTTTCCAACAACAGGCATTTCAAAATGATATCCCTCTCCACAGGGTTAAGTCAGTCATGCCTGGAGATGCTGGATGATGTCCTATCATGTCATGCCCCTAATTCCGAGTTGAGGTCTTCATGTCATGCAGAGTTGCTCTATATTGTGCATGTTAACCCCTTATCCAGGTGTGACCATCACGTCATGAGAAAGTCTAGTCAAGGGGTGGATGATGTGAACATGCCGTCACGTGTAAATCTTGCTGTAGACCGACTGGTGTGAACCTGCAGTCATGAACGTTTCGGCTGAAGGCCAGAAGTGCACAAGCCTACAGGGAGGCTCCATGGAGGATGCCATTTCTATGCACAGTGTCATATTCCTGGTGCTGTGAGCGGCAACACAGGTTGTATTACAGAAAATTAAATCTTACGTAAAAAATAATAACTTAGTATTACATAGTTTAATATTCTTGTACTCTTGTCTGTGCAAAGAAAGAAAGAAAAAAAAGAATGGCCTTCTGGATAATGCAAATCAAATAGCAAATATGGACATTTGAAAATGGCCCAAAAGTTAGATACACTTATGCATAAAAAGAGTAAATAACTTTGCAAATAGGAGGCATTGAGTTTTGTCACCACACACAGTATTCCTGTGTGCCTAGCTTACAAGCAGCTACTCTGCAGAGCAGCTACTCACTTAAGCCTAATGCCTGGATTTTTGGTGATTTGATTGCTATGATGCAATAGGATCCAATCGAGTTGTGTACTTGCTTGGCCCCGGCTGTATTTAACAGGAGAAATAGCCCTTCAAAAATAGACTTAAATCCTCTTTTAAATCCCATTCTCAGAGACACAAGAGAGCAGGGTAATTTCATGTTTCTCCTCGGGCACACTGACATGCTGTTTGGTATTGCAGTGAGGGTCTTGTCATGATTGGATTGAATACATAAATAAGAAAGTATTGTATGCAATATTTTTGTCGTCCTTTAACCCAATGGTGACGGGTGAAGAAAACGAAAAAAAACTCTACTCTCTGGCAAACAATGGCAGTGCGCCGGCTTTGAGTGCGTGAGTTCGGTACATCAGCTCGAATCACTGGCTTGCCGCCGCAACGTACAGCCGCATGCCAGCTTTCGAGCGATTTGTTTTCATGCCGATCGGCGTCACCCGGCGTTAAGGGGTTAAGTTTGCCAGTCTTCCTATTAAAACTTTTCTGGAATATAATTTCATTCTCATTAAACCTTCTACTACATGTATACTTGCCATCCTAGTGGTAAAGCTCTCACAGTCTGGCGAATATAGTAATTTCCCTTATTTGGCTGTTGAGCTAGACCAAAGTCAGTAATCTTGACGGTATTTTCATCAGCAACAAGGACATTGCGAGCTGCAAGATCACGGTGAATGATTCTCTTTTGTTCAAGATAGTCCATCCCCTGAAAAAGTCATTGTGTCAAATGATTAATAGTTTCCTTCAATCGTTTTATTACATGGATATATAAAAACTTCTCTTTGAATGTGTCTGTCTGTTTTCATTACTTCATAATATTAGAATGGATATTTCACTCAAATTCTCTTATTACTTAAATAAAAAAAAATTGAGTCTGAATGTATTTGTATTTGTGTTTCTGTCCTTACATAACTTTATCCATGTTTGCTTTCTCACATATGTGTAACTGTGTTCATGGTCCTATCCTACATATGTGCATGTTCCAGTATACATGTTTCTATATATGTGTATTTGAAATATGTCTATGTATGTGATATTGTGTTCATGTGCCTCAGTTTGTTTATTTGTGTTCATGCTTTTATTTAAGTGTATCTATTTATGTTCCCATGTTGGTGTATGCATGTGTATCTGTGTATATGTTCCTCGATTGGTGTATCTGTTTTAAGTTCCTATGTAGGTGTATCTGTATTCATGTTCCTATGTACATGAATCTGTGTTCATGCTCCTATGTATATGTATTTGTGTTCACATTCCTATGTGTGTATATGTCCATATTTCTCTTCAAGTATGTGCACATGTATCTGTTGCATTGTATGAACTCACCAAACAAAAACCTACTATAACACACACTACTAGACTTACCTCTGCGATATCCAAAGCAAACTTGAGAAGGTGTCTATCTGTGATATGATCAGTGCATCGGAGAATGTAAGCTTTCAGAGACCCTTCCTTCAAATACTCCATAATCATGTATAGCTCTTCACCGTCTCCTTCACAAAGGCCGCACAACTTCACCACATTCTTGTGGTCTAATTTCTATAGGAGATTTTGAATAAAAAATTAGAAGCAATTCTAGATCTTAGTGTAACAATTTGAGCATTCAATTATACTTTTCTTTCTAGATACACATATACACTCAAAACATTTTTATGTATAAATATTAAAAAAAACTCTTTTTCCATCAAACTTTATTCAAAAAGCACTTTTATCCCATTACCAAATTGATCTAAAACACTTAAGTTACTGCTTCTTTAAAATTATGGAATATGTTAACCCATTGCCACCGGGGATGGCATGTACGTACATGCCATGCCCACTGTGAGTCGCCTTGTTTGATTGTTTTTACACATAGATGGCTACACTTGTACTAAGTATCCAATGAGCCAATTACGAGTACTGCCTGTCTCGCCCGTTCACCCTTTTCATCGATTTACGAAAATATTTAACGTTATCCTAATTTGCTGTTCAAAATAACACCATCTATATTTATAACACTAGTAAAAATACGTTTTTTTCCCGCCAATTCAAGGAATGGTGAAATCAGGACTACCAGAGCCATCTATGGACAGAGATATTTCACAAAAATATAAAAAATGAGTACTGCATTTCCCCCATTTTTTGTTCATTTTCCCCGGCGGCAATGGGTTAACTGATATTCATTATGCTCTACAAGTATATTCTTTACAACCCATTCCAGCCATTATGAAATTATTTCCTTATAACAAATGACATCAAAATGGATATCATTCAACTAAACAATATTAACTACACTTCAGTGATAAAGAAGAGAGGAGGAAAGAGAGGGAAAGAGGGAGAGAGGGATAAAGAGGGTGCAAGAGATAGAAGAAGGGGGAGGGACAGAGATATGCATTCTAAGAGTATGCTTTTTCTAACCACAAAAGAAGCATACTCTAGCAACTTCATTTCCTCCATCATACCTTCATAATATTGATTTCCCTCATGTGATCCTCAATTTGTCCCGCAGCCTTCAGGGTCTTGATGGCCACAGTCTCCACTCGTCCCCATGGGTCTTTCATCTCACCACGGTACACCACCCCATAGTACCCCTGCAAACATTTTTTGGGATCAAGAAAACTATATGTTTTAGAAGACAGGGTTACAGGATGTAACAAAGTTTTTTTATAAAATTAGGTATAGTTACAAGCCTAATATATACATTTATGGGACTTACTACACTGCTTCTATGGATTGTCTAGATATACAAAACTACAGGAGACACAGCCATTCAACTATTAGGTATTCTATAGAAACTGTTTGCACAAGTAAATCTCTGACGGCAGATATACTTTTCCTGAAAGAGTATTCAAGTTAGAAGACTGTTATCCCTTTGGATCTGGATGATGTGACCATCATATCAGGAAAATATTTGGCTGAGGGCCAGTAACATGCCATCATAAGAATTTTGGCTGAGGGCCAGGCTGATAGCAATAACTCCTCATAAGTGCACTAAGTTATGGAAAAAGATAAGACTCAATAGGCCTTTAGGAAGGGGATCTTGCATTATTTCCACTGGTAAAGGAGTGTGGAATGTACTACCCGTGAGCTATGACTGGAAGAATACCAGCCCCAGGGAGGACAGTACATAGTTGCAGACTACCTAGAGATAATATGGAGTTTGCACTTCACTAAGCCTAGCATGTCTAGGCTTCAAAATATATCTAATGGTATTATATCTCCATAAAAATACTTTAAAAATTTTCAATTATAGACTATAAGACATCACTGCCTCCAAATAAGAATAGTAGGATCTATGCAAAGTATGCTTTAGGTCTGGCTCACCTTGTTCCCTGGACAGTGTACCTATTCCTGGCCAAAATGGTGATAATCCTCAATGTCAGTCTAATTCCAGAGTGAAATGAGGCTAATCGAATCTCGCCTTTTACTCTATCGGGCACCTTACCTCTCCGATTTTGATGTCTAATGTAATGTCGGACTTTTCAAGTTGCAGGGGCTCGGACGGGATGGCAGGCAATTCTGGTATACGTTGTGCAGCAAGTGGAGGCAGTAATAGCGTACTTAATTTCTCTGCACTGAAAGGGAAACAAATGCTAAAATTCAGAGAGAGAGAGAGAGAGAGAGAGAGAGAGAGAGAGAGAGAGAGAGAGAGAGAGAGAGAGAGAGAGAGAGAGAGAGAGAGAGAGAGAAGGGAGGGAGGGAGGGAGGGAGGGAGGGAGGAAGGGAGGGAGGGAGGAAGGGAGGGAGGGAAGGAGGGAGGGAGGGAAGGAGGGAGGGAGGGAGGGAGGGAGGGAGGGAGGAAGGGACGGATGGAAGGAGGGAGGGAGGGAGGGAGGGAGGGAGGGAGGGAGGGAGGGAGGGAGGGAGGGAGGAAGGGAGGGAGGGAGGGAGGAAGGGAGGGAGGGAGGAAGGAGGGAGGGAGGGAGGGAGGGAGGAAGGGACGGATGGAGGGACGGAGGGACGGAGGGAGGGAGGGAGGGAGGGAGGGAGGGAGAGAGAGAGGGAGGGAGGGAGGGAGGGAGGGAGGGAGGGAGGGAGGGAGGGAGGGAGGGAGGAGGGAGGAGGGAGGAGAGAGGAGAGAGGAGAGAGGAGAGAGGAGAGAGGAGAGAGGAGAGAGGAGAGAGGAGAGAGGAGACAGGGAGACAGGGAGACAGGGAGACAGGGAGACAGGGTGAGAGGGAGACAGGGAAAGAGGTAAAGCAGTAAAGCGGGAGAAAGGGAGAGAGGGAAAGAGGGAAAGAGGGAAAGAGGAAAAGAGAGAGAGAGAGAGAGAGAGAGAGAGAGAGAGAGAGAGAGAGAGAGAGAGAGAGAGAGAGAGAGAGAGAGAGAGAGAGAGAGAGAGAGAGAGAGAGAAGGGAGAAGGGAGAAAGGGAGAGAGGAGACAAAATCTTCCATGAAAATACTCTGACCTGTACATTCCTCTTGACTAGCACTTGAAGGAAATCATGTAATAATACACCATAGGATACACCAAACCAAGAACAGGTTAAAATTACAAACAACTATAAACTTTCTCTCCAGCACCTTGTCAGGGTTTCAGCGATGCTAGGAGCTACTGCCTCGGGAGAATCTGATTCAGCGTAGACATTGTTGTAGGCCATCGGCAAAGGATAAAAATCAGATCCTATTGAGATGAGATCGTCGACAAAAGCTTCCGATACCTTGTTCACGACAAACTGCATGGGGAAAATACCCATTAGCTTAGACTCGCTATAAAAGAATAAACTTAAATTTTCCGGACAAATATGCGGTATTTGCTACATCAGAATTCATTTATAATAATCTGCTTCTTAATTTTAAAGCTGAAGCCAAGATGGTACATTCTTTTGAAGGACTTTTATTAAGCAGATAAATGCCAGAGACAGGACAGTTAGGTCAGTGACTGAAGATATCTAGGACTTTTCAAACTTCAACTAACTTTGCAGTAACAAATCTCTTACAAGCCCTAAAATCAAATATTGCAAATAGTAAACATTACTTTATTGTTTCTATAATTGAATGATATGAACAGTATCACCTCTGATAACTAACTTTCTAAAAAATATATACACATATATATATACATACTGTATCCGTATGCATAATTATGTACTACACACGCACACACACACACACAAATATTTCAACTAATATAGAAACATGTACACAAACATACACACCATTATGTAATTTTATAAATGGATATGCATACAGACATGCATGTCCATTTATGTAAATTATATACAAAGAACTGAGCCTTTCCTCTGAGGTGGTGCCGTCGGAGAGAGTCAACGTCGTGACCTGCGTTGTGATGGAACTGTTATAATCATCCACATCATTACTGATGTCTTCCTCTGCTTCGTTCTCTGATACTGACGAACTTGCGCGATAGATTGTCTGGTAGGAGTGCTTTTTCCTTGAATTAAAAACTGAAAAAGTAAAAGAGAAAAAAATGGCACAATAATTAGTCTGCTTTCACTAAGGGCCTCCCTCCTTTCTCTTTCTCCTATCATTTCTCTATGTTTTCTATGTTCCCTTTCTCTTTTTTTTATTTCACCTCTCCTTCTCCCTCTCCCTCTCCCTCGCCCTCGCCCTCGCCCTCGCCCTCGCCCTCGCCCTCGCCCTCGCCCTCGCCCTCGCCCTCGCCCTTGCCCTCGCCCTCTCCCTCTCCCTCTCCCTCTCCTTCTCCTTCTCCCTCTCCTGCTTCTCCTCTTCTTCTCCCTCTCCCTCATTCTTTCTCATACTTCCACCCTTCCCTGCAGAGGACTTGCCTTGGTATAGAATTTGGTTCACATCTCGCATGATAGCCTGTGGCTGCCGTCTCGCTTGGGGATCTCGTGACCAACATCTCTCCATGACCTAACGAAGGAAAAAGATGCAGAAGATAAAAATAAATCATGTTAAAAATCCTGGTGTAAGGACAAAAGAAAGGAAATTAAAGTTCTGAAGAAAAAAAATCGCACAAGGATAATTTATAAAGGCCTTTGCATTTACCACAAAAAAATAAAAATGAAAATCTTGATGATAGGGATTACACAAGGACAGTTATCTACACAATTAACATAATTATGATGATAGCAAGAAATACTTTAAAATTACCTCTTACAAGAGCATTTATTTCCATTTATTACCAGTGAAAAAACACAAAAAGATTACAGAATATCATATGGGTCTAAAGAGCCACACCAAAAAATAAAAGCATACAACTCATACCCACAAAAAAAGACAAACAATAACAATAACCAACAACCAACCTTGTACAAGTCCAGAGGGCAGAGATCCGGCCGTGGCAACAAATGTCCCATTTCATACAGCTTACGGACCTCTTCCAAGTCAGCCCCTTTGGGAGAAAAATTTAAGGATTAAAAAATCTACATTTATGTTCAAGTGAAATCGATGGATGTGGGCTTGGACATGGGTGTGAGTGTTGGTGTGGCAGGGGCATGGGCAGCATGGGTGTGGACATGGGACTGGACATGGGTGGAGGAATGGGAATGGGGGTGGACATGGGACATAGGGGTGGACATGGGACATGGGTATGGAAATAGGTGTTGGCATGGGCATGGATATAGGTGTGGGCAAGGGCATGGGCAAGAGAGTGTACATGCAAATTAACATGACAACAATTCTTACCTGGTAATGGCTCTTTCCCTTTAGAAAATATCTGCCACAGGGTTGTGCTAAAAGCCCATATGTCAGTAGTAACATCACTGACTGCCATAGCCGGATGTAAGTGATGCTCTCTTGGGATCCAGTGAATATCTTTCTCAGTGCATCTGACCATTCCCGGATCACCAAGTTTGACCTAAATTTGAAAAAAAAAAAAAAGAATATTGCAATTTTGACTCATCTTGCATCTTGATCACCTTACTCCACTAGAGAGACAAAGGGGCATAAACCACCAATGAAACAAAAATAAGTGGCCAGCTTTACAAGTCAAAATCAGTTCAAAAAACAAAAAATAAAAATAAGTTATCTAGACTTTATACTCAACTATTCCAGCATCAAGTTTAATACGATTCCTTACTACCAGATATTAACCCATTCGCGCCGGGTAAAAATTAACAAAAAATGGGGAAAATGCTGAGCTCATTTTTTATGAAATTTCCCTACACTAGATGGCTCTGCCTTACCTGATTTTACCTTTACTTGAATTGGCGGGAAAATGTATTTTTACTAGTGTTACGAATATCGATGGTTATTTTTATTATAAACATTATAATTACTATCTATTAGTAACAAAAAATAAGATAACGCAAAATAATTTTGTAAATTAAAG